GGCAGACTGGTCGCTCAGTGACTTTAGTACACAACGGGACAGATGCAACAGCTACAGACTCCTGGTGAGCAACGCCCAGACAACGACCAACTTCACCCTAACTACGTTTTCCCTTTCTAGTCACAGTGACTCACTGCGTATTCACCATCGCAAACACTCGTCTGCGTGCTTGCTAAGAAACAGGGTAGAGAGCTGTCGGTGACGGGTAGTAACAGTGTGCAACTGAAGGGATGAAGGCACCGAAGAGGTCAGACACAAGGAAACGTGACCTAACTGAAAGAAGACTGCGTCTTACTAGTAAAAAGAGTCCTAATCAGGAGAAAACGCAAGTTCTATTACACTGAGTAGGCAGGATATATTCAGGGGTGTCATTCAGTTTACTACTGCACAAGTATTCATCCCGATAACACCAGAAGTTCACTGATGATAATCACGCGGAAATCCGGCGCATCCCATCCAAAATATATGCAGACAATGAGACATCCCCTTGATGCCCGAGTCAGGTACAACAGGGATCGTTGAAGATACAGAACAAATTGTTGATTTATATGAAAGATAAGATTTTTACAAATAAGCTGAGCGGTGTTTATCTAGACCATCACGTGTCATTAGAAGATGGCGGACGTGAGAAGACGGAGTGGGGTGGATGCTCCGTATATCACAGTTGAGGCCTCAAAGACAAATGTGATTCTTATTGCTTGGGACGGACGGAAAACTACGAAAAACAAGTCTGACTTATCTCCCATTTATTTAGCATTGAGGCGGTACCCGCTTGACTTATTATTGGCCCCCTACTCTACAGGCACCAGTAACTAGCGGAAGCACGCTAGATCATCGGTTCGTGCAAGTCGCAACAAAAGTTTACGTCGCTTTGCCAGTCAAACACCGGATATAGGTTCTAACGAAAGCCTGACTGAAGCTTGGCTATCATTTAGGCCTTGGATTTAAGCCTCATGAACTTATAAATACAGAATGCCGGTTGGTCTTCTTGGGAAATTAATTTCCGAATGGGCGAATTTGGGTTGCGTACAGGAAACCACTTTCATTATCTTGACAAATATGAAGTAATAAACTAGCCAATAAAAACCCTGGAATGGTTGCTAACACGACAAGTACTTATTT